CAATGAAATTATGTGACGAAAAGCGCTAACATAAACTGTTATCAACTCATTAAAGATTCAATAATTAGTGCAAACTTAATGGTATATGATTTCTATGTCGTGTGCCATCGAGCTGATGACATAATTTATTGAACGTCCCTCGTATATCGACACAAGAATGGAAATTACCTATGTAATTTGACAATAGGTCGTCGATATATAAATATGTCGAACTGAAAGCCACAGCAAATGTTTTCTTTTTTTTACATATAAAATTTTGCACAAATTCTATATCATATGATTACAAAAATAGGTGTGCGTTGGAAGATCTGGTCTCAAAAAACAACATCGATATTGTCAATGAGAAACTCAAGCATCTTTTTTATGTCAACTTCAGGGTACTTGGGTATACAAACAGAATGCTTTTTAACAAAATAATTTTGCAAATAACCAATGGCAAGGTAAGCCGATTAAGGAGTTCCAATTTTTATTGAAAAAGAAGCTGTCACTGATATCAAAAAGCCTGGAGTTTAATTTATCGTGAGAAAGAAGTAAAGCCACGAACGTGCAAATACGGCCCTTCAATTTCGTGAATAATGAACTTGCATACGACACTTCGAGTAGGACTTTGTTATTATCAAGGAATGTCAATGTTTAATTATGCATATGAGTTTGGTCTATTCATGACGTCATAACAACCTAGTACAGGTCGATTCACGTGCAAAATGATGAAATTGGCGTGTTTTTACTAATTTTGTCACCTTTTCTTACATTTTTTAGTGTGGACACACCCAACAAACAAAAAAAATTGTTTTTATCAAATCCAACATAAAAAATAGCACAATTTTATACAAAAAACATTTTGTTTGAAGGGTGTGGGCACATTGAAATTTTAACTTTTCGTTTTTGGTCACTGTAAACTGATGACATCCCAGGCAAATATATGGATTTAATTCATATAGATTTTTCAAATATTAGTGATTTATTTGAATATTTCATGCATAGTACTAGATATATGTTGATTTTTTTTATTATAACGAAGGTCAGCAGTGATGTATTTAATTGGATATGGCCTATATATTTCATTCAGTATGCCAAAGAATTTCTACTTAAGATTGCTCTACCGACATTATTATGAGTTCATAACATGCTTTTTGCAATAAATCGGTGAAAGGAATCGACTGTAAATAACAGAAATAATAAAACAAATTTATTAATGTTAACATCTTTTTTTCCCGATTATTAATTTCGATTTTACATCGCTGCTTTTGAGAAAATCCAATCACCATGGTCACCGGTGTAATCAAAGGGAGACTACGCCTACAAATAATGGAGAAGGATGACAACTTACTGTCAATGCGATAATTTTGTGTCAGCAAAAGTGTACAGGATATTGTCGAGTAAGTAGTTTTAAAACATTTAAAATTTCAAGGTATCTTTAGATGAAAACAATATATATACTGACTTTTTTTCATTCATATAATTTATTCAATTATGGCTAACGATAATTACCTGTAGGTCTAACCTGTAGGCCATATCTCGTATTTTGAGCTCAAGCTTTATAGAACTCCGCTAATTTTTTTTTTATCATTTCCTCATTTCACACGCATGTAAAGGCATGTAAAGACAGTTAGTCTTCAGAAATATATTGTACCATATGCCTTACTTGCTCCCTAAGTTTGTTTACATTCTTAATCAACATAATGCATTTAACTTGTGTTTTCAGTGCAAAATGCGAGCGGGCAGCGGTATTATGATAACGTGTATTAATTATTTTTTTTATTGTTATTATTTGGAAAAATTTTTGTCTCTTTAACTTTTTGCATTCAAATATCATTGAGATAGTCAAACTATATTCACGATAGAAAACACACAGACGACATTATAAAAAGAATATATCAGGAAGTTCATATAGATCTTCTAAACGTAAACTTATACGAAGTTGGCGTGGCGCACAGGGGCCCGTTTCACTAAAAGGCGTAAGATACGACCAAACTTAAGTTAGGCCTCGGGGCGTACGCCAAAATTTAGTCCGGCGTAAGTTGCGTTTCACTAAGAGGCGTACGCCTGACCGTAAATACTAGTATCGGACTAAGTTAAGGCCAGACTTACGTCCTTGACAACGAGCTTATGCACATGCGCATACATATCATAAAGAGAGAGAGAGAGGGGGGGGGGGAGAAGAGAGAGAGAAATGTTTGATATTTATTGAAAAGATATATGGAAAAGATCACATTTTCTTCTTTGTTATTTATTGCAATATTTGTTTTGAGGTCTATAATAAAAACTTAAAAGCGTTGAAACATATTTAGATTAAAAATATATCGTAGATTGAATTATGTTGAAAGGAATACATTCGCACATTCGCAACTGTGTTTTGTAGTGAAATAAAGAATTTAAGAAATCTCTCTCTCTCTCTCTTTCTCTCTCTGATCTGTCATGTTGATTTCCATAGCGTTTTCTTAAATAATGTGAATTTCGTAACAAACAAACATGTAAATATCGATATTGTTGTCGTCTGCAATATTCGCTATTGACTCTGCACAATCAAAATGTCTTCGGAGAGTAAAAAACGTAAGCCAAACTGGACTGATGATGAAATGAAAATTCTAACATCTTGTGTAATTGAAAACAAAGATGTATTATTTTCAAAACTGTCGGCATCAGTGACAAACGAGAAAAAGAAAGCTGTATGGGAAGACATCACAAAGCAGTAAGCATTTAGGTTTTTAAAATAACGATCAACAAAAATATAATAACATCTCCGATTTGATTACATACAATTTGTTCATGTCTACATGTTACATATAATGTATATTTATGGACAAAAACCTAACTAAATTGGCAAAAATAGGAATGTTATTTAGGTTTTGTGTATTCTTATATAATTTTTTTAATTTCTAACAAAAAATATACAAATAAAGGTAGACTGGGGATTCAAAAATATATTTAGTGTTAAAATTTTACTGCAGAATAAATTCTTCTTCTGCCTTGTGCAAGAGGGAAACAGAAGAAATAAAAAAGAAATGGAAAGATGCAAGATCCATTGTAAAGAAGAAAGAAGCCAGTAGAAAATACCAGACGAAGAGAACAGGCGGAGGGCCTCCCCCGGAATCTGTATTCAAGGCATGGGAACTTGACGTATGTGTTTTCTAATATTTACCCATAGGCGTAGTCACGGGGGGGGGGGGGGCAGCGAGGGCACTAGCCCCCCCCCCTTCTTTCAGATCGGGGGGGGGGGGGGGGGCAAGAGTATGTCTGTGCCCCCCCCACTTTTCAATGAAGAACAAAATTACAGCTATTTTGAAATAATATTAAACCTCATTTTATGGCATTTTTTATGTTCAACAAATGAGTAAGCATTTCTCTTGAAGTAATAGTTGTATAATATAGTAATGTAATATAGTAATTAAATCGTCAAGACCTGCCCCCCCCCCCACTTTTTTCCCCAACATTACCTTTACTATAGGAAATGTTCATTGAGGGGATAGTTGCCTCCCCCCCTTTTTTTTGACCATGGTATAGTGATATCGAAGAATTGTGGGGGAAAAAAATTGGAATTGAAAGTAAGTAACGTGCCTTTGAAAAGATTGGCCACTACCCCCCCACCACCACCACCACCCCACGAAATAGGATTTTCGAGTTTCTTTTTGGCTTGTCAAAGAATTTCTGGAGTTGAGCCCCCAACCCCCCCCCCCCCCCACACACACACACACACTTTTAAGTTTGTGACTACGCCTCTGTTACCTAAAATTGATATAATTAAGTGTACTATGTATTAAAAAAAAGTTTCGATCGTTGCAAAGATGAGTTTCCGATACTGACATAATTATTTTTTCATTAATGTTTCGCACCGTTTATTATTTTAATTTGAAAAAGGCAAAAACTATTTTTTTGTTTTTATTGCTAGATTTTGTCAATTATACCGGATGAACTTATCTCTGGGATTGACGGAGGGGTTGATACTGCCTTTGCCAGTAATTCTGAAACAAGTATGTATAAATACATGGTACATGCATGTACATTGTAAACATTATTCATACGTTCACTACATGTATTTTTATAACCTCATAATGTTGCCTTCCGACTTTTGCTTCATATACTATTTGATTTTCCATGCTTTGTATATTTAGTATTATTGTAGTATACAGTAGTTATAGTATAAAAAAAAATTGAAATATATGATATCTAAATACTAGCATTTCTTTGTAACAGATAACTTAGCCTCATCATGCACTGCAGTCCCATCGGAAATTTCCGCTGGAATTTCATCCTTGATTGGTTTGTATAATTATACATATTATATAATATACTTATGAAATTTTAAATCATAAAAATTATTATAAAAGATTGTCAAAAATTTGATATGCATGTTCTTCACACGCGGAACACATAAGTGTCTATATTTGAAATATTGATTTTTTTTTTTCAAATTAAAAAAATGTATGTTTTTACATGTATATAGTAGAAGTAGTTGACGTTCCGGAAGAAGCTCCAAGTGTACATGTGTCCGGGCCTTCCACCGACAAATTCTTTGCTTCAACTCTGTATGGATCTAAACGTAAAGGTAAAAAAGAAACAATGCCAACGCTATGAAAATGAATTAAAAATGTATTAAACATTCCTTCAGTTTTACTTTTCGCGTAATTTAACGTTTTTTAAGAAAAAAACCCAAGTGAACTGCATGTTTCAACATCATTCATGCACTTTTAACTATTCATATTACACATAATATGATTTTATTTGATTTTCTTCTGTTTCAATTGACATTGTTCTGATTATAAAACTTTTCATTAAAAATCAAGACACGGCCAGCGACCCCGACGCTGAGTTTATGCTGAATTTGATAGGAGTGAAGGAGAGAAGAGCCATCGCAGAGGAGAGAAAAGCAGATGCCCTAGAGAGAATAGCGGCGGCATTTGAAAACAAATTTGGCATTTAATAAATTTGAACACAAAATGATAAAGTAGTCATGTTCTTTATTACAATGTAAGTGTGTGATTTAATGAATAGATGAATTGTTAAAATAAATTTGCAACTTGAATGCGCACATCCTGTGCTCTCCTTGGTGCGTTTGCGTTAAACACGGCATTGTCATTGATGTTCTGTACAACCCCACCCTCAAGTAAGGGGACTTTCTCTGAAACAGCTAAATTATGAAGCCGGATACAGCATTGAATAATTTGAGAACATCTACTTGGTGAAAAGGGGAGTACTCCTCCAGTTCGATGTAAACACCTGCAAAGATTTACTTGAATGTAAATACTGTGGAATCATTAGAATTCATGATGGGTCAATTTGCGTGATATTCGTTGGTAGCCCCCCCCCCCCCCCCCCCAACCCCAAACCACCACGAATTTTCATCTTCATAGGAAATTTAGAAAGAGATATCTTTGTTACTGAATCTGAAAACCGACCCATACACGAAATTACATCTCCACAAACAACCAAAAAACCCACAATCCAAGAAAATTGGCCCACAGAATTTTAAATGAATTCACAATAAAATTGTAACAAGGTTTATTTATGGTTGCAAAAGATATACATTTTTTTCTCAAATAAAAAAAAATTTAAGGTCGCGTTTATCATAATGAACGTCTGAAATAAAATATTTGCTTGCAAATATGACATATAAAGATATTTAACGAAAAATTGCGTTTAAATTACCTAAATCTGGATTTTAATACCCCAAACGATTTTTCTATGACAACACGAGTCTTTCCATGGGCATCGTTGTAATTCACTTCGTGTTGATTGGCTGGGGATAAGAATGGCGTTAAGAGCCATTCCTTGAGAGGGTAGCCAGAATCCCCAAGTAACCACCCACCCCCTTCAAGATGTTCCATAACACCTGACAATCCCGAGTTGCTCAAAACGAAAGAGTCGTAAGTTGCCGCGGGAAAACAGGTATTAATTGGAAGAAATCTGAAATAATATCAACCAATTTTTCATCCTTTATGCATATGTAAGCAAACAGTTAGCATTCTTATATTTGTTATATTTGTTTGGTTATATTTGGTGCAATAAGGTTATTTTAAAATTGACAACTTTTATATTTTCAAAGGTTGTTATTTCATAAAACCCTTTTGACGATATATTAAATATTTTGATTTTCTCCTGTTGAAGTATTGGCGTATACAAGGGTATTTCTATTACAAAAAAATGATGTGCTAGTATTTATGTTTTAATCAATACCGTTTATACCTCATATTGGAATCTGTTACGGCCTGAATATTTAAGGCATGAAAGTTTTTTCTGCATACAAAAGCAGGCTCCTGTGGTCCACTCATGCCCTTAATTGGTATTAGAGTACCATCGATTGCACCAACACAATTTGGAAAGTTGGCAATGTCATAGAACTCAGATTTTACATGGCGTAATTCATTGGCAGTAACTGGAAACTTAATGTTGTCCACTGTTGTATTTATTGCACTGCACACTGTATAACAATATGATGAATCTGCGTTAAAATCCTTAATGGTATATATAAAAAATATTTGAAAAGGAAATGTACAACTGATTAAATGTATTACAGGCATGTAGAAACATGAAGGATAGTGTATACAAACATGTACATATTATTATTAGGGTCTTCCGTCTCCAACGGAAGACCCTTCTATTATTCTATTGTTTCTTTTTCACTTTTATTATTAGGGTCTTCCGTCTTCAGCGGAAGACCCTTCTATTATTCTTATGTTTCTTTTTCACTTTTCTTATTATTATTATTATTCTTTTTTTCTGCACAAATTTTGTGCAGAAGATTTCTCGGAGATGGTTGGATGGATTTGTTTCAAATTTTCAGGGATGTTGCAAGATCATCTGAAGTTTATACCGGCGGAAGGATTTTGCGAAAATCACTTCCGGTCTAGAGTTATCGCCCTTTTATCAAAATTCAGAGGACTTCCTTGTCCGTTCATTTTCTCGAAAACGGCTTGAGCTAGAGCGCTGAAATTTTCAGTGATGATAGAGGACATGTCCCCATGTTACTGGGAGTTTGGATAATTTCCGGAAGTACCTAGTATGGAAGCTCGGTAGGGGTCAAAATTTAGGACACGAATCACGAGTGATTTTTGGAGACATTTTGCATCATATCTTTTAAAGTATAAATATTTTGTTAGAACATACTGAACATCATTTGTGCAGAACAACGAGATCTTTCAAATTATATCAAGAAAAAAACGCTGACTTATCACATTAGGGGCAGAAAGGGGCCAAAAATCTTTAATCGATAACTCTTTATCAGTTAATATTTTGTAATATAATACTGAAGCAAAAATGTTTATCTCAACAATCTACAGCTATATATTATAATTTTTATGACGTATGGTACATAATTAGGGGCCACAAGGGGCCAGAATGCCAAATCTTTGACGCTTTATATCTCGAGAGTGAGAAATATTTTGATAAATAATATTGAACAAAAGATGTTCAAAATCATGTTCTGAACAATATGCAACCTTTCATTTTTCGCTAAACGTCCCCATTAGGGAGTTGAAGGGTTGGCCCCTAAATATTTCTTTTGCAAATAACTCGAAAACGAAAAAGAATCTCTGAATAGTTGTTGAACAAAAAGTGCTCAAAATCCTAAGAGCTTTAAGATGAAATCCAGAAAAAGGGGCTGGACACTCAAATCAGGGGCCAAGAGGGGCTAAAAGTCTTTTTTCGATAACTCTTTAACAGTCAATATTTTGCTATACATTACTGAAGCAAAAATGTTTATCTCAACAATCTACAACTGTATATTATGATTTTTATGTCGTATATTACATAATTAGGGGCTACAAGGGGCCAGAATGCTAAATCGTTGATGCTTTAGATCTCGAAAGTGAGAAATATTTTGACAAGTTATATTGAACAAAAGATGTTCAAAATCATGTTCTGAACAATATGCAACCTTTCATTTTTCGCTAAATGTCCCCATTAGGGAGTTGAAGGGTTGGCCCCTAAATATTTCTTTTGCAAATAACTCCAAAACGAAAAAGAATCTCTGAATAGTTGTTGAACAAAAAGTGTTCAAAATCCTAAAAGCTTTCAGGTGAAATCAATAAAAAGGGCTTGGGCACTCAAATTAGGGGCCAAGAGGGGCCAAAAGTCTTCAATCGATAACTCTTTAGCAGTTAATATTCTGTAATACATTACTGAAGCAAAGATGTTTATCTCAACCATCTACAGCTATATATTATGATTTTCATGTCGTATGGTACATAATTAGGGGCCACAAGGGGCCAGAATGCTAAATCTTTGACGCTTTATATCTCGAGAATGAGAAATATTTTTGAGAAGCAACATTGAACAAAACATGTTCAAAATCATGTTTTGAACAATATCCAACCTTTCATTTTTCGCTAAAGTCCCCATTAGGGAGTTGAAGGGTTGGCCCCTAAATAATTCTTTTGCAAATAACTCGAAAACGAAAGAGAATCTCTGAATAGTTGTTGAACAAAAAGTGTTCAAAATCCTAAAAGCTTTAAGATGAAATCAAGAAAAAGTGGCTGGGCACTCAAATTAGGGGCCAAGAGGGGCCAAGAGTCTTCAATCGATAACTCTTTCTCTTTCAATATTTTGTAATACATTACTGAAGCAAATATGTTGATCTCAGCCATCTACAACTATAAATTTGATTTTCATGTCGTATGGTACATGATTAGGGGCCACAAGTGGTCAAAAATGCTAAATCTTTGACGCTTTATATCTCTAAAGTGAGAAATATTTTGAGAAGCAATATTGAACAAAAGATCTTTAAAATCATGTTCTTAACATTATGCAACCTTTCATGTTTTGCTAAACGTCCCCATTAGGGAGTTGAAGGGTTGGCCCCTAAATATTTCTTTTGCGAATAACTCGAAAACGAAAAAAAATCTCTGAATAGTTGTTGAACAAAAAGTGTTAAAAAGCATGAGATCTTTCAGATAATTTGAAGAAAAAAGGGGCTGGTCCCTTACATAAAGGGCCAAGAAGGGCCAGAATTTGAATTCATGACAGTTTAACGTTCAATATTTAAAAAAAATACCATCACGGCAGCACAATCATTTTTCTTAAGAAAATTATCATTGTAAAAAAAATCTCAATCAAAATCTTTTCTCATCTCATCAAGAATCGAACGGAAGACCCACTCGTTGTTCACAACGAGATCTCATCTAGTTATTATTATTATTCTTTTTCTTCTTACAATTTTTCTGCAGAAGATTTCTCGGAGATGGCTCGATCGATTAACTTGAAATTTTCAGGAAAGGTGTGTCGTCAACTAAACCTGATTTGTTTTTCTCATTTTTTTGAAAATCACTTCCGGTCGGAAGTTATTGCCCTTTAATCAAAATTTAGAGGACCTCCTTGTCATCACCAGAACTCAAGAACGGCTAACGCTAGAACACTGAAATTTTTACCAAAGATAAAGGACATGTTGTCAAGATGCACAATGGTTTTCAAATTTTCCGGAAATGCCTAGTATGGAAGCTCGGTAGGGGTCAAAATCTAGGACACGTATCATGACTGAATTTTTGAGACATTTTGCATCATATTTTTTAAAGTATAATTATTTTGTTAAGACATACTGAGCAATATTTGTGCAAAATGACGAGATCTTTAATATGATATCAAGAAAAAAGTGCTGACTCATCACATTAGGGGCCGAGAGGGGCCAAAAGTATCTATTCGATAACTCTTTAACAGTCAATATTTTGATATTAATTACTGAAGCAAAACTGTTTATCTGAACAATCTACAACTATATATTACAATTTAAGTGTCGTATGGTTAATAATAAGGGACCATAAGGGGCCAGATTGCTAAATCTTTGACGCTTTATATCTCAAAAGAGGGAAATAGTTTGATAAGTAATATTGAACAAAAGATGTTCAAAATACTGTTGTGAACAATATGCAACCTTTAGTTTTTCGCTATACGTCCCCTTTAAGGAGTTGAAGGGTTGGCCCCTAAATATTTCTTTTGCAAATAACTCGAAAACGAAAGAGAATCTCTGAATAGTTGTTGAACAAAAAGGGTTCAAAATCCTGAGAGCTTCAAGATGAGATCAAGAAAAAGGGGCTTGGCACTCAAATTAAGGGCCGAGAGGGGCTAAAAGTCTTTAATCGATAACTCTTTAGCAGTCAATATTTTGTTATACATTACTGAAGCAAGAATGTTTATCTCAACAATCTACAACTATATATTATGATTTGAATGTCGTATGGTGCATAATAAGGGGCCATAAGGGGCCAGAATGCAAAATCTTTGACGCTTTATATCTTAAAAGTGGAAAATACTTTGATAAGTTATATTGAACAAAAGATGTTCAAAATATTGTTCTGAACAATATGCAACCTTTAATTTTTCGCTATACGTCCCCTTTAAGGAGTTGAAGGGTTGGCCCCTAAATATTTCTTTTGCAAATAACTCGAAAACGAAAGAGAATCTCTGAATAGTTGTTGAACAAAAAGGGTTCAAAATCCTGAGAGCTTCAAGATGAGATCAAGAAAAGGGGACTGGGAACTCAAATTAGGGGCCAAAAGGGGCCAAAAGGGGCCAAAAGTCTTTAATCGATAACTCTTTAGCAGTCAATATTTTGTTAAACATTACTGAAGCAATGATGTTTATCTCAACAATCTACAACTATATATTATGATTTGAATGTCGTATGGTGCATAATAAGGGGCCACAAGGGGCCAAAATGCTCAATCTTTGACGCTTTATATCTCATAACTGGGAAATATTTTGATAAGTAGTATTGAACAAAAGATGATCAAAATAATGTTTTGAATAATATGCACCCTTTCATTTTTCGCTAAATGTCCCCATTAAGGAGTTGAAGGGTTGGCACCTAAATATTTCTTTTTCAAATTACTCGAAAACGAAAGAGAATCTCTGAATAGTTGTTGAACAAAA